CCCTGCATTTTAAGGGAATATTAAAGTCAGTCTCATACAATGCAATATGTAAATCAATATCTGAACCTGGCTTTTAACGGATCCCCCCTTTTTTTTAGGGATAGGTGCTCTACGCAGAGAATTTAAAAGTTCCAGACATTTCACCATCGATATCATTTTAAATACATACATTCAATATCCACATATTTGATATTGTAGTTAAAAAAATTTTATCCTTTTAAAATGAAAATATTACCAGCCGAGTGTCTTTTTAGAATATTTGAAATCTTTGGGTTTGACTACGATTTTAAAAATTTATTTTCATTCCTTCTTGTAAACCGCCACTGGTGTAGAATTATTGTACCTATATTATGGAGTGAACCAACGTCTCGTTCTCACGATAGAAGACTTATAAGAATATATCTTTCAGCATTAAACGCCAAAGAACAAACTCTATTAATTCCCTTTAAACTTACCCTTCCAAATTTTCCAAAGCCATTATTTGAGTACGCAAATTATACTACATCTGTTGGCACTTATTTACGCAATGCGATCAAAAACTGGCTTGATGGTGGATATTTCTATGAATCTTGTAAAGTTGTAAATGTTGTCGAATATTCATTAATTACAATGTTCTTACGAATAAGTAAAAAACTTAAAAATTTAAGTTTTAATGGATCCATTTATAATGAAACAATATCTAATCAACTTTATAGAAACACTACTATCACCTGTTTATACTTTCACACTAGTGATTTTGATTCTAAGACTGTGGAAATAATTACTGAAGTTATTGATAAATGCATCACACTCACATCTTTACTCATTTCTTGTGATAAATTTGATTCTTGGGGATGGAAAGCAATAGCGGATGCTCTTTGTAAGAACACTACTCTGACCTCTTTAGAAATTTCTAATAATCACCTTGATTCTAAGGAAGGAATAGCAATAGCAGACGCACTTTACAAGAATACTGCTCTGACTCTTTTAGATATTTCTTGTAATCACCTTGGCTCTGAAGGAGTAAAAGCATTAGCAGATGCCCTTTGTACGAATGTTACTCTGACCACTTTAGAAATTTCTAATAATCGACTTGCTCTTGAGGGAGTAAGGTCAATAGCGGATGCTCTTTGTAAAAATACTACACTGACTTCTTTAGACATTTCTCACAATCAACTTGATTCCGAAGGAGGAAAAACAATAGCAGACGCTCTTTGTAAAAATACTACTCTGACTTTTTTAAATATTTCTCATAATCAACTTGATTCTGAAGGAGGAAAAGCACTAGCAGAAGCTCTTCGCGTAAACACAACCCTGACTTATTTAGATATTTCTCACAACAAACTTGATTCTAAAGGAGGAAAAGCACTAGCTGAGGCTCTTTGCGTAAACACTACTTTGACTTATTTAGATCTTCTAGTCAATAAAATGAGTTTTGAAGGAACAAAAGCATTAGTAAATGCTCTTCATACAAACTCTACTCTGAAGTTTTTATATGTTTATAATAATAAAAGTAATTTGGTTGGTGCAAATTTTAATGAACTATTTTTTTTTCAATTATAAAACGAACCTATGTTTTTATTAAATTTTTATATTTTTCTAAGTTTTTGTATATAAAATTTTCATCCCAATTTTTTTTTACATTAGGGTTAGTATTTAGAGCTAGGATTAAGGTTTGGAAGTGGTTTTATGAACGTATAACACTTAGAACATTTTACAATGATCAATTAACCAGTTTTTGAGATAACATATGCATAGGTATAAAAAAAATTTTTTTATATTTTAAAAAACAAATTATTAAAAAATGATTAAGTTTGTTAAAGAACATTAAAATTGTCAAAGATACTAAATATTAATATATAATAAGGTTAAAAAAAAATATCGGCAACAATTATTTGTGATGAATGTTTATTATTTTAATTGCTATTTTTTAAGTTGTTATTTTTATATTAATAATGTAAATTATATTATAATATATAGTGCTGTGGTAGAATATAAAATAAAAAATAAAAATTTAGTACACCATACAATTTTCGAAACGCGCTATTACGCGAAAATAGTATTATTTTCGATGACTAACAAAAAAAAAATAAATAAAAAATAAAATAAAATAAAATAAAAATTTATATTGCGTAATTTAATATTTAATCAGTTATAGTTATTTTATTATGCTACGTACAAACAAATTCTAGTGAAAAAGATAGATATAAAAAAAAATGAGGCCTTTTTTTCTAGATTCAGTTCTGCAGTTAGATACATACTCAAATGGTTAATCTATTCAGACTGCGTCAAAAAAATCTGGTCGGTTCTAATTGGCTGGAGTCGAGGGAAGCGAGATGGAAGCCTTTCAAGTCTTACACTACAAATTTTCGAAAATGTCCGGTTCCCGGTTCAACTGATCCAGATTTAGGTTACGTATCCAGAAATTAAACCTAAATCAGATTCAATATCTGGATACCAAAATCTTAGTTCAAAATAAAGTAACAGACTTTTAAAGCTTATATTTATTTCATTAAATTACGATATTGTATGTCAAAAAAGAAAAAAAAAAAGCTTTACATAATCTTTAAAATACCATCATAAAATATGCTATAAGATACGTTATTATACCATAATCAAAATTTGTATATTACTTTGAAAAATTTTTTATAGTGGTTAATCGTATTAGAAGTTTTTTTTCAATTTGATAAGTTTTAAAATGCAAAAAAGAACTTACACACCTGAGCAAATCGCAATAAAAAAAAAATGATGGTAGAAGACGACAAAAAGTTCGATGTCTCAGGAACAGCAATTAGCGTATAAAAAAACAAGTCGGAAAAGAGACAAGCTCGTTATAAACGTCAGTTAAAACAGGAAAACACAACATATAAATATAGAAAATAGCATTAAGGGTATATATGATATGTACAATATTATTAATAACTATATAAAATTATATATGTATCATTATAAACTTTTATTTTAGAATCGACCCGTCTATAAAATTGCTGATGACAATCGTGGTCTTCTAAAAAATTTCATTGTCCTATTTTGTAAAGAATGGTTCTTTCAGTTATTCTAAATAATCAACTGGCACTTGCAATAGCATAGATGTAGTAGTGACAGTTTGATTCCAAAGAGGTTTTTACCAGAGAATGATAAAGAACAAGGTATGTAATAAAATTTACAATATATGGTATTAATAAATATATATTTGCAAATTTAATAAATAATTTATTTTTAAAAAGTACCAACCGGGTTAGTTACCTCAGCTTAGCCAAGTTGAGGAAACATTAATCGCACGGATCTTCTTATGTTAACTTTTTTAATCTTCATGACGGGCAACCCGGATAGAGATGTGATTAATTACCCGCAAAATGTCAAAGAATTTATTGCAAAGTTACTTCGGGATTCAGCCACAATTGATACTTTAGTTGTTTGACAAACTAGACAAGATTATACTATATTTCATGACTTGAAGTCAAACGTATGACATCTTAGTATGCCTTGCTTGAGCAATTACAATTCATAAGTAGCAAGGCTTAACATTGCCAAAAACCATAATAAATCTTGAAAATAGCCTAAGAATTAGGACTCCAGCCCACAAAACGTCAAACCATGGAATTTGATTTAAAATTGAATAAAGAAACATCTTCTGTTAATGCACCCGCAGTTCCTGCATGTTCTCGGATGCAGGCAATTTTATGAGTGCGAAGAGAACATTATTAAAGCTGAAGTTATTTGGCAGAATGATATTTCTAAAACGTAATATGAAATCAATTGGTCTTACTGTTCCTGAGATCTAGGATTAGTATAAGGTTGTTTTATAATGCAAAACAGAAAATTGCAAGTCATAGAAATTTATATCGATATTAAATAATATAATTTAGCCTATTTAAATAGAAATCAGGAATTTGTCTTGCTTGGTGTTGCTCACTTCACCGACAATTACTACACCAAAAGTTCACATAGCCGACACCACATAGGGTTTTACTAGCAGATATATTATATTTTTAGTAGATTATCACTTGGGATGATGTCGGCTAAGTGAGATGTCGGTGAAGCGGATCCTTATTATTAAGGTATATTATAAATGAGCTATCGAGAATAGGATCTTTGAATAATTATATAAAGAAAAATTTATTCAATATCGTCTTCTAGATTTTTAATTCCATATTATCGTAATATAATTTTATTTATCGATTTTACAATTTTTTGAGTTTTTAAACGATACGTATAGGAACAATAACATTTTCAAAAGTACAATAGTCATTCGATTAAAGTTTATTAAATGAGTAAATACTTTTCCACTATCATGATTTCTTAAAATGATAATATATCCGATATATGTTAAAATAACTTTTTTATGAATATACAGTTTTTATATAATATAATGTATATTACAGTATTAGATATTAGATCTTGATTTCAGTTCTCATAAGGTTTTGGGGCCTTGAACATTTTTATTTAGAGTACCTGATCCCGTTTATTTAGTACCGTACGTTATTGAGACATAGCACCCCTGGTGACGTACCAGGGGCAAGTTAGCAATACAGCAATACTAATACCGTAGCGGTAGCCATCATATATTTATATACAGACGCTATATTTACTGTGACAATGACGTTTTACTTTTTAATTAAAAAGTCAAATTACGTAGCTAAAAAAAAAAAAAAAAATCGTAGATATATACTGTATACATAAACCCTTTTGAAAATTCTTGCAAATAAAGACTACTGAAATTACTGAAAAAAACGGCCTAAAGCCCTAATTACTGGTGAATGTGGATTCATTATATGTAACTTCTCTATATTTGAACAACAGTTAAATGGTTTAAACTTTTACAGTTCGATAACTTTGATCGGATATTAGGGCAAGCGTTTGGCCAGATACCTTATGTTCAAATTGTAGACATCTCACAAGACTTATCCGAAAAACTAGAAAGTTATTGTACCAAAATTATTTACGGTGATTTAAGAAATTTATCTATATGTCGTAAGGCAATAAAAGGTGTTAATTGGGTTTTCCATTTCGCCTCAAACATGGGTGGAATAAGACTTATTAATGAATTAAATGATTTTGCCACATACAAAAATAACCATTTAATTACTGCACAAGCTTCAGTTGAGACAGAAATAGTAAAAATCTTTTATGCGTCATCAACAAGTATATACCCACAAGAAAAACTGTTAAACCATAATGAATTGAATCTAAAACTAAAAGAAACCGACGTATGGTACTTCGATGATGACGAACCTGGTCCTAAATCCCGAAGGCCTATATGGTCGCGGAAAACTTAACAAAAAAGTTTTTTTTTAATGAATTTTATAAATTCGACAAAAAATTAGAATTTAAAGATTTCATAATATTTTTGGAAAGCAATAATTGGGTCGGAGGAAGCGAGAATGCTCTCGCGTCAATAATTTGCAGAGACATTTGCTCAATTAATGAAAATGGGAATTACAAAATGGAGATGGTTCGGGTGATCAACATCATAATTTTTGTACATAGAAAAGTGATTATTCTAAACCATTAAATAATTGGATCTGATGATGAATGAGTTAGCTTATATTGCTTTTGAGGCTATTGGAAAATCGAGAGAACAAGTCAAGTTGATAACAAATGAGAACAAACCTATCGATGTTCAAAATCGAAATTCAGATAATACACTTATTAATCAAGTTCTTGGGTGGTCACCTAAAACATCGATTCGAAAAGGTATGGAAAAAACGACAACGTTGGTAAAAAATGAAATTGAAAAAGAACTTAATGAGTTAGTAAAGAAAGAATTAAAGAAGTAATGTAACGAAAATGTTAAAAGGAATTAAGTTCAGGATTCTTCTGATTACATCTCGTGGATTAGAAAGCCCCAATGATTACCTTAATAATCTACGTAACTTCGTCCTGTGTGTTTACGAAACAGCACAAATAGATAATGCAAGTACAAATTTTCGATAAAGTTTTTTATAGGATTGATAAAGATGACGCTCTATTTCATCCTAAAGGAACATGTATTAATGCAGAAACGCATGAATTTGATTTACCTCCTGGATCCATATGTAAAATTGTCATGATTTAGCAATAGATGCGTATAATCAGTAGTGTTCCGATTCTGATCAAAAAACTCGGATTGATCCGGGTTTGATCCAAAACCGACATTTCGGTTTGAATCCGGAGTCAATCCGAAGTATTTAATGGCTAAATATTTTAACATGGTCAGCTTTGAATTTATATATTAATGCAATGTGAAAGAAACAACTGAACCAAAATCTCAAAACTGGGCTTAATCCGGGCAATCCGAAACCTTTGGCCCAAACCGATTTTATCGGTCCGGATTGGATGATAATCCGAATCCGTCGGATCCGTATATTCATAATCAGATGTGTAGTTATATAGTACTTTTTGGGTGATGAAAATATAACTGAAAGTACAAATTGGATGTCGAAAATCCATGAAGAGTTTATGAAAATTTCCAATGAAAAAAAGTGCCATGCGGCTTCGGAATCATTACTTTCACAAAATTAACACTTCCGGGATTTCCAAACATATAATGCGTGACTTCATATTGATTTATTTAATGGTGAGCCATTTCCTGATGTATTTACAAAACAGGATGCAGGCCATTTCTATTCCATCGTCGATTTTGGTTGGTTTATCATGTAGAAAAGAATAAACTTAGAAATCTTAGAGGAGGAAGTAAAAAACAACGGTACCAAAGAATGTTCTATTACTGGAGTTTCTCTGTTCTTGATAATGCAATATAATCCATTGAAAATGGATGCACAAAGATAGAAAATTCTACTCCTAAATTCCTTATAGTTGTACCAGCATACAAGGTTCAAATGCAATACCTAGAGACTCTAATCAGTTCAAAAAGTCTGAAACTGCATCTACATCAATAATATTTATATTGTGGATAATCCAAATTCACCGCATTTTTGAGATTTAAAAAAATTTTGAACATGGCGCATTCATTGGAATTCGTGTGCAAGAAAAAAATCTTGATGCGAGTGAAGCAAGAAATAGAGAATTATCGGAATCAAATGCAGATTACGTTTTATTTCTAACTCCAGAATTTGATATTTTAATAGAAGCAGAAAAGTTATCCAAAAGCCTGCGATTTCGTATGTTGTACGAAATTCCCACAGCCGAGTAAAACTATTTTTACAAGCGAAGTGAAAAATGTCAGGAGCAACTTATTTTTTAGACATTGCAGAACAAATTGAGGAAAATGTTCCGTGGGGAGTGACAGCAAACTTATTAGTTCGTCGTTACAAAGATAATATCAAGTTTAATCCTAATTTTCCGAAAACAGGAGGTGATGAAGACAGATTTTTTTTTGCAAAAAAGGCAATTTTTCACACGAAACATTAAAGACTGTGAAGGGTTCAGAGGTGCACACTCAATAAGAGCAATACATCCCCGGTGAAGTAACGGAAAAGGTTATATATTAGATTTTTAAACATACGGTGACGGGAAACTAATTAAGATGTACACAGAGTACTGTCACGGGCAAAGAAGGATCTTCAAATTGGCGCAGCAAAACCTGTGATAAAGAAAATATTAACCACAAAATACTGGTTTATCGGTTGAGGCTTATCGGCCAAAACATGGGAACAGGTATTTAATTTAGCTTAAGGCTAAGTTGAAGGATGACTCTTCGGCCGAAGCAGCCTCGTAACCTACGCGAAATACGAAGAACCTGAACGCGAAAAAAAAGAAGAGCGAAGAACAAGAAAGTGAAGGATAAATCAAGAAGTCTCAATAAAAGATAGTGTAAATAGCGAAGCAAAGCCTTCTATTTTCTTGATTATCTTGTAATTATTATTGTAAGCCCCTACGTTAGTATAAGTTTCCCCTAAGTTGTTTAAGTTCCCCTAAGCCCCTTGACTTCATTAAGAGAGCAGAAGCTATAAAAGCACTGCGATTTCACTCATGTAAAAGGACATCCTCCGGGGATTCAATTAATTCTTTCATAATACCTTTAATAAATCACCCTGATAAATTTATTTTAAATAAACTAAATTATTGTCAAATCACCAACGTCACGCCTCTGGCGAGTGGCCTTATCGTATAAATTCAGAGCTTTTCGTGTATAAACTATTAAAACACTACAATTCACCCCGTCACAGTACGCGTATAAAGACCGTTTCCCCAATATCGCAAAATTTTTATTAATTCACATGTCGCTTCTTATACTGTTATAAATTTCCTTTTGATAAAACTTTGATAAGCGACCAAATGGTTCCCTATCATTTCCCCCGACATATTCCTTTCCCCGGCATATTCCTTTCCCCAACATATCCCTATTCGTTTTTTATAAATTTTTTTAATATTTTCTATTTTTTTTTTTAATTCTTTCTATTTTTGATTATATTATCCGCAAAAACCTTTAGTAACAATACAAGTTATATAATTTTAAGATTCTGAGAATTGCCAGCAGGTCAAAATGTTATTGTAGTAGTTATTTAGTGATTATAATCAAGATTCAGTTAAAATAGTGGATAGAAAGTGTTCAAGAAAAGAAAATGATACGTATAAATTTTCAATTTAAGTTGAACAATTTTTATGAAATTTTAATCAATGATATTATGGACATTATATAAGGATATTGATTCGGACGACGTATTAGAATTAAGCTTGTGTGGAGAAACTTATCGATTATTGAAAAGGTTTGAAGAAGCACTTGTAAATCATTAGATATTAAACAAGATGAATGGACATTAAGTAGGCGCAATACGGTTTATTGTATGAGGAATAGATATGAAGAAGCACCGAAAGATTAATTGGAAATTAAACCACTTAGTGCATTTGCATTGAGCTGACACGGTTCACCTTATCGCCTAATGGGAAAATATGAATAATCAATTGAAGATTTAAATAAATTATTAGAAATAATATACTGTATTTTCATAAAGTGAGCGTGGAAGAACCTACTATGGGCTAGACATTATCGTTATTGTATATTTTTATCGTATTTTAATGATGCCTAAAAATTATTAGTTTATAAGCCCAAAGAATCTTATAAAAAAGGAAAAAAAAATTTAAAGTGCCGCGTAGTTTTTTGTGCAATACCTAAGCATATAGAATCCTCATTACGCTTCGGACAATTATCTTAGTAAATTGAGCAGTTGAAAGGTATAAGTTTCATAGTAAAATCGGCGGAGAATTACTACTACCTTCATATAATGTTGGAATGCCGAAAGTTCTTGACAATAAGTAAAAATCATTATCACGAAGAGAATAATACCAATAACTCGTAATCTTCTAAACTCATTTCAATGAGTCTATCACCATTAGAACCCAAATAACTTGCTTTACAATATTTGTTAGAAACTTGATAGGGCTTGGTACAAAAAAAAACTTTATTGTAAGTGAGCTGCATTCATTCATTATATAAAAACTATATTAACTTCCGACAAGTTTTACAATGAAATTTACTATTGTTATACCCATTAATCACGATTTACCTTTTAATACGTAGAATTAAATCGCATAAATAAAATTTCTATAACGTACAATGTGCTACGCTTCGACAAATCAAAAACTTCACACATAACTTAATCATGTGTTTAAGTTATATTACACAATAGGAATTATGCGCAGCTTGCGCAGAAAATTTAAAAGTTTCACAGTTTATCTTTATTCATAGTGTTTCATCAAGTATCATTTAACTATGTTATATATCGGTATTGAAATTAAAATCTATTTAACAAAATTCTTAGTCCTTTTAAAATGATAATATTACCAAACGAGTGCTTTTTTAAAATATTTGATAACCTTAAAACTAACTATAGAACTGATTATAAAAACTTATTCTCTTGCCTTCTTGTAAATCGCCACTGGTGTAGAATTATTGTATCAATATTATGGAGTGAACCAACCTATCATTTTGATGATAGAAGAATAATAAGAATGTTCTTTTGAATTTAAATGCAGAAGAACAAGCTTTATTAATCCCCTTTAAAATTATCCTTCCAAATTATCCAAAGCCATTATTTGAGTACGCAAGCTATGCTACATCTGTTGGCTTTTGGTTTAGAAAAGGGATAAGAAATTGGCTTGACTATGAAGGATATATTGATGATTATTACGAAATAGATAAAGATGTGCTTGTAAGTGCTGTCGAATGTTCTTTGATTACAATGTTCTTACGAACTAGCAGATCACTTAAAAATTTAAGTTTCTGTGGAACTTTTTGCAACAAAACGATATCTAATTATCTTTATAGAAACACCACTATTACCTATTTAGACTTTTGTACTAGTGATTTTGAAATAATTACGGAGATTCTTTATAAAAACACTACTCTTAAGTCTTTAAATCTTTCTTATAATAAATTTAGTTCTAAAGGATGGAAAGCAATAGCTGATGCTCTATGTAAGAACACTACTCTGACCTCTTTAGAAATTTCGAAGAATCAACTTGGTCCAAAGGAAGGAAAAGCAATAGCAGATGCTCTTTGTAAGAATACCACACTGACTTTTTTAGATATTTCTTATAATAAACTTGGTTCTAAGGGAGGAAAATCATTAACAAAGGCTTTTTGTACGAACACTACTCTAACTTATTTGGTTCTTACTAATAATCAACTTGGTTTTGGTGCAGGAGAAGCATTTGCAGAGGTTCTTTGCATAAACATTACTCTGACTCATTTAGATCTTCAAGACAATCAACTTAGTTCAGAAGGAGGAAAAACGTTAGTAAAGGCACTTAGTATAAATACTACTCTGACTTCTTTAGTTCTTACCAATAATCAACTTAATTTTGAAGTAGGAAAAGCGTTAGCAGAGGCACTTTGTGTAAACACTACTCTGACTTATTTAGATCTTCAACACAATCAACTTAGTTCTGAAGGAGGAAAAGCATTAGTAAAGGCTCTTAGTAAAAACACTACTCTTACTTCTTTATATCTTTATGGTAATCAAATTGGTTTTGATGAGGCTGATTTATTAGCATGGGCTATCTATAGGAATATCGCATTTGCCGATGATCAGATTAATTATAATTCACTCTACATTGACGATAGAGAAGCAATGGAAAATGCTATTTGTTTGAATTATAATTGTTTAGGTAGTTTATTATTTAATTTTGGCAATTTTTATTTGTAAAATAGTATAGGACACAGGTACATAGAATAGTTCAATATTTTGCTTATAAAACCGCTCTTTGTGTTCTACCAAAAAATAATCTATGCAAAATTTTAGTATAAACTACCCTCTATCCCAATCTCTATCTTAACTTTACTTTAATTTGCTTTTTTTTATTGATTTACAAATATACTGCAAAGTTTTATATTTGATTATTGGCTTTTAATTAAATATATAATATTTTTTGTTTGTTCTAACTCAATTGTAAATCAAGTTATAAAACTCTAATTTTATTTTATATATTTAATTTCTAAATAACTAATTTGCTATTTTAATATAGCTTTTAAAACTATTATATATGATTGTTATAATTTTTTATTAATTAATTTTTTAAGCTTTTACTAAAATTTAACAAGATTTAAATTTATTATTAAAAAAATACTTTATTAAACCTATTTTATATAACTACCTAATTAATTTTGCTTATTTTTTTTGATAAATATTTTATAAGATTACATTCTGTTTACTCTTAAATATGCTATAGCTATTTAACTATTTTTATTTTAAAAATTTAAATCTAATAAGTTTTAATCATTCTAGTAGAAATTAAACGTGATTCAATTACATTATACAATTAACATTTTTCAATTGCAAATTTTTATCAAAATAGGACTCAGACTAATTTAAAAAGCCCCGGAAACATCTTTTACAAATTAATAAAGATAAGGACAAAACCCCACCTTCAAAAAATAATATATTTATAATATGTTTATAATTTATTTAAAATATGTTTAACATTTCTAATTAAAAATTGGTTTCGTACAAGAGAGTTAACATAACTTATTATCATACATTACAAATATATTATACATATTTTGAAAAAATTGAAGTTTCTGCAAAGAGGTGAATAATAGAATTTAGTCGAAAGATAAATTAGAATTAAAATCAAGTTTATTTTGAAAAATTTTAGTCTCGTCAAATGGAGAATTTTAAAACTTTATTGTATTACATTTGGTCTGATTACCAATTTTACTCTAAGATAAATTATAGAAGAAACTCAACAAAATACAAAGTATTTTTAATGAACATATAATCGCATTTTAGATGATTCATCTACTTAACTAAAAAATCCAACGCATTACAGGCGTTATTGATAGCATAATCTACCTAAATGCGTAATAATTTACTACTATTATTATAGTGATTTCTGTTAAATTAACGTTAATATAGTAAAGTGCAATTGTCATGCGTCCATATTTTAAATTAAATAAAATACGAACTGTATCATCACTTAGAGTCAACATTGTTTAAAAGGAATCCTGGTTAGTGCTATCGTATTTAAAATCAAAATCCAAAGAATTCAATTGTTGAAAAATTTCTGACATTGCAGGACGTTTATTGGGTTCATAATCCCAACATTTTGAATAAAGATCGATATATTGTTTAGGCGTTCCTGTAATTGGTTCTTCACGTGAGCCTTGAATAATTCTAAGCGGAAGCGCATATTTATTAATTTGGCCAAATGGGGGACGTCCATTACTGGAAATCTCCCACATTAGCACACCAATACTGTATACGTCAGACTTTTCATGACACCGATATTTCGGATCCTCAAGCTTACGAGGATCAATAAAAGAGATTACTCCATAAAATCCTTTACTACTAGTTGCTGCTATGCTATTAAGATTTTTTGAAAGTCCAAAATCTGAAATTTTAATATTTCCATCATGGATAAGAATATTCAAAGTGTGCTAAATTACATATAATATGCTTGCAAATAACTTGACAATTTATAACTATTAAATAAATTAAAATTAATAATTTACCAAATCGCGATGTGTGATATCTATGCTATGAAGATAAGACATTCCTTCAGCTATTTGGCTCGATAATTGGATTTTTTTTGACCATTCTAATTCATTATTTTGTAGGTATTTTCGTAAAGTTCCATTATTTGCATATTCCATTACAAGAAAATGTATTTTCTCTTGCATATCTTATAATAAATGTTTTAAAATCAAGGTTTAGGAATTTGCTAAAAACTCACAATGATATATAATGAATAAACAGTTTACCGAGACTAATCCCATAAAATTTAATAATTCGCACATGATTAGATCTGCTGAGTTGTTTCAACTAAAAATAACAATATCTTAGAAAGCCGATAAACAATAAATATAAGATATTAAATATAGTACCTCATTTATAAACCTCTTTCGAGCTTTTTCACCTATTTCTGAATCTATTTCTTTAATGGCCACGTAACCTAGCGAACGAGATTTTGCTTTATACACTGTTCCAAAGCCTCCACGCCCTAATTTCTCCTTGTTCATCAAACTATTATAAGGTATTTCATTCAAATTGTACACTTTAAGCCAGTTCTCGTAGCTGAATAGTTCAACATATATGTGAAAGGACAAATAATAAATGTTTAATGGAAAATTCTATTGACAATAAAATGCGTGAATAAATAAACTATATACTTACGAACTGGTAATTTAAACGTAAGTGAAAGAACAGAGAAGTAATAATTAATAGAGAATTCTATTGACAATAAAATGTGTACATTATTTTATGAATAAACTATATACTTACAAACTGGTAATTTAAACGTAAGTGAAAGAACAGAGAAGTAATAATTAATAGAGAATTCTATTGACAATAAAATGTGTA